ATGTGAATTTCAAGAAAGCTCAGGCCTTTGGATACTGTGGTGGCATTGTCGATGAATCAAATTTGTATCTACTATTATCATCAATTATATAAGTTATTTTTCGTTCATGATTAGGTTCCGAGGTCATCAGTAGATGTTGAATAAGAACTATAGTCATAATTTTTCTACACTATATCAGTCGGCCTCAGGATTCTATCGAACTTTGCTTAATCCCGTATTTTTATTTAGACTGAACTGCAGTTTTGATCTCGCCGTGGTCTCATCAGCAGCCCCAACATTAATTGAACCAAGGAAGTGTAGTCTTTATATTCGACATGTTACCACCGCGACGAACTTCCACGAGTGTCAGTTAGTTAAGGCAAGTCAGACTTCCACCTTATCACATTTTATCATAAGTTTGTCGATTATAAAGGCTTGTATTTATTGTATATTACTTATATTTGTAATGAGTAGGTTTACGTTTCATTGCCCGGATTAGATTCCCGTTGAGGGTACTGATGCAAACAAGGCAAGGTCGAAACTGGATGAGAATACCTTTTATGAAGCAAGGTTAGGTGATATTGTATGGCATCGTGACACCTATACATATCAATGTGGGAAAATCCAACTATCAGTCCTTCATCATCTTGAGCCACCTTATTCTTAATCCTACGTTCAACCACCTTTTTCTTTGAAATAAAGAGCTTTTAGCCTTTTGATGATACCTTCAGCCTTAAGGGCACAAGAGATACGAAGGGTTCCTTGGCTGTTTAAATAGCCTACTTTATCCTAGTTCTCCTCTAAACAATTACCTTAATCGCTAGTTGTTGAGATATGAACATGGTTAGGCACTCGAACGCAGAGACCAGCCTCAACTTAGTGACGCCATTCTGTGAGTTAATAATTGTATCATTATACACTCATGTGGAATGTTCAATTTGTACTTATATTGAAATACCAAAGTAGCTTTCGGAGTTGGGCAAGAGGCTTTTTTTATGTAGATCGAAACATTACTTGTATTACATTGAAACCATATTTAATGTGACCTCTGCGAGTTAAAGAGCCCTGATAAAGGTTAACGAGAAACATAAAGAAGGAGAGCCATTTATTTATGATAAAAATAGTGTTTATTGTATACAGTTTGGAATGAAATGAAAAGCAAGTAGCATCATGATCATAGTCCCTATCTGTTGTCAAGTGCAAATAGGATCATGCTTTTACATCTGAGTAGGCTTGGCCAGATTAGCATCGCCTCATGTTAATGGGTAGGTAAAAATGGACGAAATTACACAACAGCAGGTAAATTTGGGTATGAAGGATGACCCGCGATTGAGAGGAGATTTGGTTTTGGTTGAAAGTCATTTGGAGCCAATTATATATACAGCATATGAATGGGGTACCAAATGCCCCAAGTTGACATGGCCCAGACGATAAGACTGGCTGAGCAAATGAAGCAGGCGGATGCTCAGCAGGCATCCAGGTTCCGGTTCAAGCTTATCAGGATCACAGCCCTGTTGCAAAACAGACTAACAGCCCTAACAACGTCCAGTCATAAGAGAGGTTGGGCAGGACCGTTTTGCCGCCAGTGAGTACAGACCGGCTTCGCTATCGCTCTCGTCTAGCTTGCCGATCTGTCCCGTCCGTTGAGGCGACTCAAGCCCCCAGGCGGCCTTTCGTCTCTTGCGCACCTCATCACTCTTGTCCTCATGCATCTTCTGACTGCCCTCTACTGAGAGCTCTGCTTCTGTACCATCCGGACCAACCGCTTCTGCCTCCTCCTCTCCTCCTCCTCCCCTGCTTCGCTCTCCTTTTCCACACTGGTTGAACTCCGACGCTTCTTCCGGCATCTTCACCCCTTGAGACGGCCATGCATCTTCATGTCCGACCTCGGGCAATGAAGAGCCTCGAAGTTGTGCAATTGCAGACTCCCCTAACGCCGGCTCGGCTCCAGGCTGTCCCGTCTTGCCGGCGACCTCAGAGTCAGGATAGCCACAAGCCTCAAGTTCGCTCGCCTCTCCTGCCTCCAGAGCTGCTTGCAAGTCCAACTGTGAAGCCGAAGGACTGTCACAATGTGTGCGAAAATGCTTGTTCAAGTGATCACTGCGAAGAAAGCGTTTATGACAGACGGGACAGAGAAAGCGTTTCTCCCCAGTGTGCGTGCGTAGGTGACGCTGCAGTTCATCAGATCGCGTGAACCTTTTACCACACAACAACCAGTTGCATACAAATGGTCGTTCTCCGGTGTGCCAGCGGAGATGAGCTTTTAAATGGCTCGTTTTGTTGTACACTTTGCCGCAACCCGGAACATGGCAACTGTGAATGTTGCGTCGGCGAAGCTCAGCCGCCGCTGCTGGAGCCGTGGTCGCCAGTCTGTCGGCCTCCTGACAGTTTGGACAGTCGCAACTGGTGCGACCAGAGTAGCGACGAGAACCTGCGGAGGTGGAGGAACAAGAAGAGGATACTGTCGAAGGAGACGATGAAGAGGAGATAGTTATTGCTGAAACTGTGGGTTCAGCCGAGGTGAGACAGTTTGTCGTGGTACTGGAGTTGCTCATCGACGGGCACCCAACGATTGTGGTGGCCGAAGAGACTGAGTTGAGTGAGGGTGAAGAAGAAAGGCTGGTGGTACTGGTACAAGCCCTATCCGAGGGGCAAGTTATGGCACCTGGAAGTGAAGAAGCGAAATATAATTGTCAGAGGTCAAGGGTGTGGAAGCAACAATCGGTAGAAGAGTAACATAACTGTTTAGCCTACTTCCATCTCGAGTGAAAGTGTTTGATAATAAAATTCGAAGGTCGAGCCCACCAGAAGAAGATTCCTTTACATCATGACTCGTTAGCTTCAATTTGGTTATAAGGAAGATACCATGCTCTGATGGACGAAAGCGTAGTACGTTTTCACCTGAATCGAAGGATATTGCTTCAGAAATAGCGTCAATAAGAATGTTCCAGTAAAGCCAATCGGCAGCTGGTCAAGAGGAATCCGCCGTCATCTTCTGATAGGATCGACCTTTGAAACTCCTCACCATTCAACGAATAGGAAACAAAATATTACTCGAAACCCAACTTTTCTTCGCAGAGTAACATAAGACAATTTGTTAACTTGCCTCCTTAAATAGACAAGTGGCTAAATCTAATCAAATAATTCAAACATGTTTATATGAGGAGTCTATGACCTATATTTTGAAAAGCTTTATAATTCGAGATAAAAATGCGTATGCATGATCAACTGGGATGTAATATAGTAACTCTAGACACTTGGTATATACACTCCATTATTCAAGATTTGCCGATAATTTCGAAATCCTACTTCCTCTAAATATAAGTAACCTAGATACGAAAAATAACTGGGTTTCAATGAATCTCCTGATCTAACACTGTTGGGAAGACTTTCGTTTCATATTGTAAAAGTCTCGAGATAAGATAGAGCCGGATAGTCTTCTTAATCTAGTGTTAATGTGAGGCTTTTACAAAAATAAGTTCCAGCTCTGATTATGTCCATCATATACTGGACGAATGCTCAGCCTGTTTTCACCCGGAACAAGGGAGGAAATTTCGTGGAATGCGTCAACCTGAACGTCGTAGTAAAGTTAAAAGACAACAGTACAACTAATCTAATTGCTTGAAATGGCGAATATAAATGTGTATTATCGGCCATCCCATTATAAATGTGACATGGAGAGGCTTACTCATCC